AAAGGAGATGGTGAGGTCCCCTTCTAACAGGGACCTCAGAGTGTCCGAAGCTGTCCCTCAGGATGGATCGAAAGCGTGAGGATTGTGACACAGTCACACACAATTACAAAATGATCTGGGAAATTTGATGCTATTTATGAATTTCTTCTCAGGTTTGCTAATAGTATCGTGCTCGCTTTTATTTTATTTCTTTATTTTTTTTAACGTTTATTTATTTTTGAAAGAGAGAGACACACAGAGCATGAGTGGGGGAGGGACAGAGAAAGAGAGAGACACAGAATCCATAACAGACTCCAGGCTCTGAGCTGTCAGCACAGAGCCCGATGCAGGGCTTGAACTCACAAACGGTGAGATCATGACCCGAGCCGAAGTCTGACACTCAGCCGACTGAGCCACCCGGGCGCCCCGTGTTTACTTTTCAAAAGCCATTTTTAGACGCACATCGAGAAATTTGAAGGATGAAAACTCTTTCATAGTGTCTAGGATTTACTTACTAAATCCTTAACATCATCACCGATAAAGCTGCAGACTGGGGAGTGGGAGGCGGAAGTGAGGTGAGTGAGAATAAAGAAGAAACAAGATTGGACCAGGGGTGACTACTGCCGAGGCTGGTGATGGGTGGGTGGAGGCCTGTAAGGTTTTTCTCTTTGCTTTTGTATATATTGGAACTTTTCGTAATAAAAGAAAGTAGGTGTATGGATCTCAAAGGGAGACAACAAAACTCATCAAGAGAGAATTATGCAGCAAGAACACGAAGGAAAGAAGGAGGCCACAGGGTAGCGATGGGGACCCGCAGAGACACATCCCTGTGAGACACCTCCCTCGCCAGACTGCGGGCAGCCCGCCGCCAGCCCGGCGCCCATTGGGTCCCTGACATTCTGGCCAATGCTCCGTCCACCCCACCCCTCAAGGCTGGAAGGGCCAATTGTAGGGAGGCCAGGGCCTTCCCCCAGGGTGGGAAGGGCTTCCTGACCATCTGAGGAGAGCGGAGGCCTGAGTTCAGGTCTGCTGGGTGACAGAGTGCGAGCCACTCGGTCCCTAGGCTTCAGCACCCCTACCTATAAATGGGGAGACGGCTTGACCTACGTAGCATACTGTAAAATAATGGAAGTGAAAGCACTCTGAATGCATCAATGCCTTTGGACAGTATAGGCTGCTGTTTTTACTCCTGGCCGTGAGGGGCTGGAGAAAGAAAGCCAGGCGGGTACCGTCTGGATTCTGGTGCCAGTTCTGCCAGTGACGGCTATGCTGTGCAACCTCAGAAGAGTCTCTTAGTGTCTCTGAGCCCGCTTCCCTGTCTGTGCAGGGAGGGGACTGGACAGGATCTTCTGGGTCCCCTCCAATTCAAACTTGATGGGACTAGAAGCCTGGGCTGTGCCTGGGAGCACTCTCAGCGGGCCGGGGTTGGGGGGGGGCACAGAGAGGAACCATCAGAAGGTTTAGGGGATGAAGGCCAATGCCATAATAAAAGACAATGCCAACTTCCCTGGGTTCATCCCAGAGAAAGAGAAACAACTCAGCAACTTGAAGCTGTTTGTGATTGGTGGACAGGCCCCTCAATCCCAGGCCACCCCACAGAAATCACTGGGAGGGAAGACTATCCCAGCACTGTCTACATTGAATGCCAACCCCACAACCCTGGCCCAGCGTGGTGGCCTCTCGCTTCTCCCTCCCCAGCCCCCACACCGGGTATCTGCCCTTCAACACCTCCCGGGCACACTGATGACACAGCCCCTCCACACACAGGCCCCCACTGGGAAGGGTGGGTGCATACTCTCACATGCCAGACACAGGCCGGGCCCACTCGGTGTTGCTTACTAAACAAATAACGCACTAACAGCAAGTTTCTCTTTCTTTCCTCACGCAGGAGGCTCTCTCCGGAAGCAGCACCCTCAGCCCCAGACCCTACCCCGCATGCTCTGGGCTCATAGGACACTAAGCCGTGGAGCCAGGGGTTCCCCAGGCTGGATGGTAGACTGGAAAGTATCTGGACAGGGATGAGGCAGACTTTCAGGGGACAGACCTCACGGGGAGCAGAGTGGGACTGGTGGCCAACTGGGACCTGGGGGCTCAGCGTCACCTGCTCAGGCCCATGGGTATGTGTGCTTTCCGTCAGGGCCTGTGCCTGGAAGGGATCTGTGCCCCCCACACACTTTATCACATCCCCCCCCCCAAACACACTCACACCAGACATATGATCTCAAAGTACTACCGGAAGGGAAACTTGGCGACTGCTTCCCCGTGTCACCAAATCCCAGTCTTACCCACCTCCCAAAACTGACCTGAGCACAACACTGGCAAAAGGGCTGGGAGTGGGTAGGGAGCAGGGGGGGATAGGAGGGGTTGGGTACAGGAAGACCCTGCCCTCTCTTCCATTTCCCCACACATAGGCGCTAAGAGGGGTCCTGCCCTGTCAAACCCAACACACATGTCCCCCTCTGCCCACCGTGACCCCCACTGAGGCAGAGAGTGATCCAAGGGCGCACCCCAATTCTGGGTGAAACCAAAGGTACCCTCCCCCCTAACCCACGACAACTTCTCATTGCACCCACTCTCCATCTCCCTTCTGAGTTCTATGTCCTAGGAGAAAACAACACTCAGACCTTTCCTGTCCCCACTACAACTCCCTCCCTGCTACCCCCAAAGTCTAAGCCGAACTGTGAAGGGCTCCGACACGAGAAGGATAAAACAAAACAAAACAGAACACTTGTTCCGGGCGCGCGTCTCACTCACCGTCCCTGCTTGGTGATGATCATCTCCGTCTGGTGCTGATTAAACTTGGACCACAACAGGTGGTTGTTGAGCGCGACTCTCAGCTTCCCGGACACCTCCAGCCCCGCCGGCAGCGCGTAGTCCTCGCGCGGCCCCGGGTAGAGAACCGAGCGCGGGTCCGGGGCCCCATAGCCGTCCCCAGGCTGGTAGCCCTCGGCGCTCGCCGTCGGCGGGAAGGGCTCGCCCACCCCGGGGAAGCCGGCGGCCTGGGGCCGGGGCGGGTAGGCGTAGGCTCCGAGGAAGCGGCCCGGCGGAGCGGGCACCAGGGCGCCCCCGGGGTACGGCGCCCCCAGGCTGGCGCCCCCGCGACGGTCGGCCGCGTCCTGCGCGCCGGGCTCCGGGTAGAAGTAGCGGTTCTGCGGGTCGGCGCCGGGCGCCCGGCCCTCGTCGCTCGCCGGCATCGGCTCGGTGCCCGTCAGCATGTCTCCGCAGCCCGGCTCCACGATGCCCATCCGGGGCGGGCTGGCACCTTCCCGCAGCCGTCGGGGACCGGCCCCTCTCCGCGCGGGGGCAGGCGTGGGGGTCTTGAGAGTAGGGGCGGGGCCCCGGGGGCGGGGGCGGGGGCGGGGGGGGGGCCCCACCGGAGCCCGGGCTCGGACGCCTGGGTCCTGCGCCCGCGTTTGGCGGGCGCGCAGCTGCTCCCGGGCTCCCTCTCCAGCGGGCCGCTGTCACTAGCGTCGCGGCGCCTTTGCTGTGGCTTTATGAAGCTCTCTGGGCTCCCCCCCACCCCCCCACCTCGGCCCCGCCCCGCCTCACCCCGCCCCCTCGTGGCTAATACTCGGCAAATTCGAAGCAGCCGCCGAGGACCGGAGGCCCCCACGGCGTGGCGGGTCCCCGCGCGCCGCCAAGTTCGCGCTTAAAGACTGCCTTCTGGAAAAGTCCACCCGTCCACCCGAAACGCCAGCCTGTTTCTCTCTTCTGGAGCCTCGTGGAAATTCCACCCATCCTTCCAGGCTCAGCTCAAAGGTCCCCTCCTACAGGAAGCCTTCGGTGATGGCCCAGATGAGACTCACAGGGCCTTGCGGCCGCACTCGCCGCTCGGCGCAGCAGCGGGGTCTGCACCCAGTCCGAACTGCTTAGACCGCGAACATTCAGCAGATCACTGATGCCCACTGTGTGCCCAGGCTCTGTGCTAGGTGGCTGTGCCTTGAAGTGTTTGCGCTCTTCCTCGTGGTGGTGGTGGGGGGGGGGGGGGGGGGGCAGAGACCCAGCTGGGCTGTGTCCCATGCATCTCGTTCCAACAGCCCTAAGGCGGAGCTGGAAGCTGGGGGCAGCGGGAAGAGCTCCTTGAAAGGGATTGCACCCGCTGCAGCTTCAGGTTTGCAGGGCTGGCGGGGGCGGCCAGGGCACTGGAAGCAGCCCTGGGCTGCCCGTGCTCAGAGTCTCCTCCCTGGCTCTGCCTGTCACTCAGGTATGTGTGACCTGGGCAAGTCACTTCCCTTGCCTGAAAGGCAGCCTCCCAACCATAGAATGGGGGAAATAAGCTGATTTCCTTTTCAGAGGGGCTGCGAGCCTTACCCTAGAGGGTGGACCTGTGCAGCACTTTCCAGTCTATTCTTCCCTCTGCTCGGAAGGCTGCTGGGAACAGGTTCAGAGCCCGCTGACGGGGCAGGATGCCCCCCACCCCACAACTTGTTCTGCAGGACTGCCTGTGAGATAGGACCACTACTAGAGCTTTTCTTTCTCTAGTTTGTTTTTCTATTGACTAACAGAGTCATCTTAGGATGAAAACAATCCTTTCCCCCCAGTTGAAAACAGCATCATTGGGAGTTTTCTTGCACATACGGATAAAGCACACTCCTAGAAAATGTAAGCAGTAAAAATGGGACTGTTACAATAAACCACCCCAAACTCCATCCCGCAGAGGCAAACAGGATTCGCATTTTGGTGAGCACCTTTCCAGACGTCACTCCCTGCACACAGCCTTTCTGTCTTATGCGCGAACACACACACACACACACACACACACACACACACACACACACACACACACATTTTATATAAACACCACACGTGCTGCTTTGTAATGTGTTTTTTTTTTTTCACTCAATAAGGTGTCATGGAATTTTTTGCATGTCAATATATAGATAAAGATTTACATTTTAAAGAGGGTTTTGAAAAATACTTTCATATTTTCATCATGTTAAAGGTTAACCTCTCCTCTCCCCGCACCCTCCCAGCCCGCCTCACTTCTCCCCTGGGGGCTGGCCCCATCTCTATATCGCTGTCCCAGCCCAACAGGGCTCCACCCTTAGGGCTCCATGGGGACTCTCTGCTCCCAACTAGAGCTGAACCGAGAGGCAGGTTGGCAGGTGAAGGAGAAGCTGGGGACCCCAGGAGGCGGGCATGACCCAGGGAGGGTGGGGGGAGGGAGAATCAGCACATCCCCTGAAAATGGAGACCCGATACGAGACAGCACCAGAACTGGGGACTGGCCCCTCCCACCCTTTTACCCACCATTTCCCCATGCTTCAGGGAGGCAGGAAGTTTCTGCCTGCTGTTCCTAGTGGGGCAGCATTGCCTGAAAGAGATGGTGACCTTGGGACCCCTGGCTACTTTTTGAGAAACACGACACATTTCAGTAACACTTCCCTGAATGACTAATTTCCCCAGGAGACTTGAATGCTGACATCTCTTTTGGGGGACGTTTTTGCTAAGTACCTGACTGTGGAAGGCCAAATGGAGTTTTATTCCTCCTTCTCTCTCTCCCCCCTCTCTTCCACGCCAATCCACAGGTCAAGAGATCCATCCCCCTGCCTCTGAACAGGATGACCTGAGCTCCGGCCCCGGTTTCCAGGGCAGAAGGGATTATGAATCTCAGAGTCAGGTGGACCTGGGGACAGTCCCTGGAGGAAGAAGGTGATTGGAGGCAGTCTCTCTGTAACTCGATGGGCTGTTAGGGGGTCATCAACCCCCGATTCCTCACCCCCTCACTCCAATTTCTTCCAAAAAAGAAAGTGCTTGTGAAAAGCGGGGGCCGAGTGGCCCTGGCGTCACCACCGCCAGTCCCGCCCCTCTGCCAGCTTGGGTGAGAACCCTGGCAGCGACACCTCCTCCTCCTGTTGCCACCTCACCCTCTTCCCAGGCCCTGAGGCTGGAGGCGTGGGAAAGGGGGTTCAGGACACCAGGTCCCCTGGGATCCCCTCACTTCCCCATCACTGCCCCTCCCAGTTCCTCCCCCATCCCATGCACCTGCTGAGCATCCAGAAGGCTGGCCCTGGGGTGGGGTGGGGGGGGGGGGGAGGCGGAGCAAAGACACACAGGGTCTGTGTCCAGGATTTGAGAGTCATGGTCTCCAACAAAGATCCCATGTTAGGAGACAAGCTGGGTGGTGACTGTGGGAAACTGAATGGCCCGCCAAACTCACACATCCCGTTGGCGGCCAAGCCAGGGCTGCAGCCCTGGTGTCTTGACTCCTGATCCAGTGTCCTTCCCACAAGAGTGTCTGCCTTCCCATTCTGAGACAGAACAAGAACAACAAATGAAAAGTCCATGCAATCGCACTGGAAAACAGAAAAGAAAATTGCCCCTAACCCACCAGCTTGGACACTAGTTTTCTTCACCCTGTTGTTCCCTGCATGTATTCAAGGTTCCTTGTCAGGTCGCCACACCTGTGGGTCGGGAACTGTGCCAGAAGGCTGCTACAGTGTGGGTTCCCGGGACCTGCCTCCAGAGATTCTGATTCCCCGACCTGTGGCCGGTCCCCAGAATCCGTGCGTTCAAGAAGGACTACGAGTGACACTGGGCTCCAGAAAGTCTGTGCATCCCACTCTCAGCTCCCGTCCCACCCCACTCTTCCACCCCCAAGCCCAGGGCCAAAGAAAGACCTTCAGCGTGCCTTGACCTTGCTGGGCGTGTGCGCCTGGCTGCAGTGGATGGAAGAGGGTTCAAGGACTGAGTTATGGCTGCCACAGACGTGGAGAAGGTGTTCTGACTGAAGCTTCAGGACCGGATAATTCGTCCCTCACCCCAGAATCTAACAGCCACCCAGGGCTGTCTCCTTAAAATGTGTGGATCGCTGAGCTCCCCCAGGATCCAGAAGGCTCCTGGATGTGGTCACACTGCACGGGGCACAGGGCAGGGAGGGCTGGGTGGCCAGCTGGGGGAAGCTGGGAGAGGGTGGCTGTTCGTGGAGACTCAGAGGCATCAGGACCCAGGATGTCTCCCTTCCACCCTCCCAGGCCCAGCCTGAGAGACCGTGAGAAGGTGGCTAGGTGACAGAGAAGGGGACAGCCTGTTGGGGATGAGGCAAGAAAGGAAAGAGAGCCAGTGCCAGGCCTGGGCTGTTCTGAAAGGCATTTAGAGATGGAGAGGGGCAGGGACCATGAAGTCCACACGTGCCCCACTGAGGAAATCTCAAGTCGGGGGGGGGGGGGCGGGCAAAACAGAAGAGAAGCAAGGGGCGAGTGAGAGGGAGGTCTACAAAGGCAGAGCTGCCTGTGGGTGCTGGGGGTGGGGCAGAGGGAAATGGAAACCCCGATTCCATCCCTTGCTGGCTGTGTGGCCTGTTGGAGCAGCTTAACCTCTCTGGTTTCCTTGTCAGCAAAGAGAGCCAGTAGACCTTCTCCAAGGACAAGCTGGGTGAACTGCATCTCCAGGGAGTTGTGAGGTAATGTAAAGGGGAGGGGTTTGCCCGCCCCGAGGCAGGCACAGATCTGAGGCACCTCTCTTCCTCTCTTCCAAGCTGTCCTCTCCCCGCTGTGGTATCCGTGGGTCCCTCACAAAGGGTCCTCAAATCCAGCCTCCGGCCTTCCACTAAGGGCCCTGCCTGGGCCTAATGAGAACCTCTCCGTAAGACTCCAGCTCAGAGATGACAGGTTTCCCCTCCTGAAATGCCCAGTCACCATTCCCTGGAGACTCATGTCTCTGAGATGGGCCAGACCCCAGGGATCCTGGGGTCCCAGAGATCAATTAGGCTCAGCCACTGCCCCTGAAGAGCTCCTAGCAACGTGATCCCAGGGCCAGAGTTCTCGAGCCCCTCATCCCACTTGCCCCTCGCAGCCCAGCAGCCTCTGTGCACATACATGAGCCATGTGTGCGCCCACACACAGCACACAGGGCCATGCGGGACAAGCCCTGTGACAGTCCCCACAGCCACACCTCTTCTCTTGTCCCACGTCCAGCCTCTCTGGGCTCCTTGGGTATCTGCCTCTGCTCACCCCTCACCCGCCCTGAATGCCCTCCCCCTTCGGCCCAGATTGCCAGTCCTTCAGAGAGCACAGCCGGAACCATCGGATTAACAGCCAGGGAGGGCAGAAGGGGAGCACCTGTAGAACCCCTCCCCCCATGACAGCTGCAGGAGTTCTGTGTCCCCAGCACCCAGCCCCCGGGGGTCAGTGTGGGCTCATCTCAAGGTCAAAGGCTCTGGGTTCTTACCCCCAGGCTGGCTCACCCTTCCCTGCCCCACACCCCCTCAAGGCTGGACAGCCCTTACCCTTTGGCTCCAGGCCATGCCTGGGTCTTTCTCCATTTCAGTCCTTCACCCTCTATGGGCACCTATCAGGGACCATCTCTTTTGGTCGCTAACTGTTCTCACCCCCGCCCCAGCTCTTCACACAATACCCACACCCCACACACCCCGCCCCCACTCCTGTGCCTCCATAGAGCACCCCCGCCCCCACTGTGTTCCAAGGCCTGGGCTCCTGTGTCTTTCTGAAGGGACGCTAAGATGTTGGGTACTTGAGCAACTCTGTAATCACGGTGGGCGGGGGGGGCAGGCCAGGTTATGGATGGGCAAGCCCAAGCTTCAGGGAGGCCCCGGGGGAGAGGCTGTGTCACCCCCCCCCCTTCCTGGGGGAATCTCAGCAGACAGGCCCTTAATCTCAGGCAGGAAGCAGGGTCCGGTTACCAGGAGGGGAGGGGAATACCCTGGGCTAAGGGTAAAGGGAGCTTGGGGGGGGGGGGCACCGCCACAGGGAGGAGAGGGAAGAAAAAGAAGGGTGAGTGGGATCTAATCAAGTTAACCCCTTCACAGCCAGGCTCCCCTCTTGTCATCCTGCGCTCTTTGGGACAGCTCCTGGTCATGGGCTCTGCCGGGTGAGGTGCCTCTCATATAAGGCCACCCCCAGGGCCTCTGACCATAGGACAGCAGACTCCCTGCTGGGCCAGGCTCTCTCCAAGGCCCTCTTAAGATTGGCTTCCTGTGAGCCCTAGGCATCCTTGTTTGTCCCACGACTCTCTTTGTCTTTAGGGCTTCTGGTCTCTGTTGCTCTGGTATGTTTGCCTGATTCTGGGCCCCTCGGGGTCCCTGTGTCTCTGCCTGTGTTGCGGTGGGTCTTCCTTACATCCACCTCTGTCTCCAGGATCCGTCAAACCTCTGTGTGTTTGTCCTGAGTGCAGGCTCCACATCTACCTCATCTGCTCTCTTTGGGCCTCTGAGTCTGTCTGTCTCTGTTTCTCTACATCTATCAGGGTCTTGAGTTCTATCTCGATCTCAGTGCGCCTGCTACACGTCTGTCTGTCTGTCTGTCTGGGACCAGGCCTCCATCTGTGAGTCTGCTCTGGGCCTGTCGTCTCCGGCCTGAGTCCTTTGGCTTAACATTGTAGGGTGGAGACGAGCTGGAGCAGGCTGATGGGCTGGACCAGGGATGGACGAAAGAGGAAGGGAAAAGGGGACGTGGGTGGAAATGGGGGTCAGAGATGAGGGGACAAGTCCCATTCTTAAATGGTGCCGAAAGCAAGCTGGATAGCCCTGAAACACCAGATGCAGCTCTGCCAGGCCACGGCAAGGGACGTGGCAGGGGACACACCTGGTCAGGGGTAGGGGCAGAGTTGCACAGAAACTGAAACAGGCATCAATGGAGAGGACCCAGAGGCAAATGGAAAGACAGATGGGGAGCTCTGGGTTCTGATCCGGGCTCCACCACTAGTCCCCAGTGACCCTCTCTGTGGGGCGGGAGCAGGGGTGGGGTGGGGAGCACAGAGAAGATTTCTCTAAACCCAGCACAGGAAACTGCTCGGCCCTTTCGGTCCCTCAAGGGGTATCCCAAAGTCCCATCCGTTACCAGCACCCTCTGTGTCTGTGATTGGGCTAGGGGCAGGTCAGAGGGAAGAATGGAGGTTAGACAGACGGAAGGACTTCCTGTTGCGCAGCAGGAGGGTGAGGAGGCCCAGATTCTCCTCCCAGCGGTCCTGGGCCCCTGTGTTGGGGCTGGGACTGGAGGGGCAGGGCGGTAGGGGCTCAGCAGCTGGGTAATTAGCCATCGCTCTCAAGCCCTGGGGGAGGGGCCGGCTGGACTGAGAAACCAACGCAAAGTGACAGGGGCAGTTTTGACACGCCGTGGAGCTGACGGGCCCAGGGGGCCAGGGCTTTGGGTTGGGGGGGGAGGTGGGGTGAAATCCCATCAGATGATTAAAAAATAGGTCAGAGGGAAGAAGCTGCAGCCGGCACTGGGTCCGCGGTGAGAACGCCATGTAGCTTCCCCCGGGGGGCTTTGGGCCAAAATGGGGTGGGGGAGCTGGGGAACATTTGCAGGGGCGGGTGAGCTAGGAGTGAGGACAAGAAGGCTTCGGGCCCAGCAGCTGGCCCTCTGTCTCCCTCAGCGCTGTTTCATGGGGACACTTTGGGACCCTACCCGCAGTCTGCCTTCTGGCCTTCCTGGCCTTCCTGTTGCACCATCTTCTTCCTCGAAGGCAGGAAGATGCAGCCTCTGTCCACCCCACCCCGCCCGCGACATATATACACATTCTATTCTAGAAACCGAGACTGTGGCCCCCTCGGGAAGCTGTTCTTACCTTCTGGCCTCAAGCCCTCCTGCTACAAAGGCAGCCTGCTGACTTATCCCACATCTCTTGCCCGGCTGAACAAATTCACCTACCCCTGCATCCTGCTTGGGGTCCACTTGGCCCTCCAGCCTGTTCTCAGAGCTTCCGTTTCCCTCTTTCCATCCTTTTCCTCTTTCCCAACTCCTGCCATGAAGCGTCACGGTGTCCCAGGAAAGGCACACGACAAAGACAGGGCAAGGAGGAGTGAGGTAGGGGACCCGGGAGCCCGGGACAGGTTGATGATCTCCAAGCACTTAATAGATGGAAGATCGGTGACTGCCTGTATCAGACAGAACTCGGAAACACCACTGAAGTGTGTTCATTCCACGGAAGCAGCTTAGAGCCACCTCCCACTCTATCTGCTTACGGTTGGGAAGTTCTTTCAGTCGTCTTCCCCCAGCCCCTCGGATGGCAGCTCAGTCCCATTTCCTTTTCTGAGATCCCTCCAACCTATGGAGACGTAGCCCTGCACTGTGGGAGTGGAATGGTGGCTCCCCGTGCCCTGCTCTGTTCCTCGGAAACCCCGGGCACAGGCGGGAGCCGGCCAGGAACCGGTGTCCGAGCGGAGGGACAAATCAGGCATCAGCAGTGGCATCCTCAGCTCAGTGGACACCTGGGTCCCTCCCACGGCAACGGAGGACACCCGAGGCCATGTTGGCATGAAAATGGATTTGGCTGGGTCTGACCTTGAGTTTAACCCCACTTACCACCCCAGACAAAGATCCGCTGTGACACGCAAGTCTGAGATTTCCCCGGGAGCCTGTCGTCTGCTGCCCACCCCCCTCAGTTACCCAGAAAGTGTCACAAGGCGTCCTGCCAACCTTCTTCCACTAGGGCCATGGGCAGCTGGCACTCTGTGCGGGGCCCTGAGACAGCCCCTGGACCCGCATCTCCAGCCACAGGGGGCACGAAGCTGGTGTGGCCGCCCATCACTGCCCCCCTCCCATGCCTGCTTCCATTTCTTTCCAATCACTGGACCGGAGCCTGACGTGTTCTGTGGTTGGGGAGGGATGGCTATGGTCAGGCAAGTCCTTAGTAACTGGACAAGAGGCTGTGAATCGAGATACTGGGTCCACTGTTTTCACCTCTCCCTCTCTGTCTGTCTGTCTGTCTCTGTCTCTCTCTCTCTCTCTCTCTCTCTCTCTCTCTCTCTCTCTCTCACACACACACACACACACACACACACACACACACTGACCTAAGGCCACCACCCAAGGCTCAGGGCCCCAGCTACCCAAGACATTGTGCTCAGTCCAGCTTATACCTTGTCCCATCCCTGGACTTCCAGTGAGTTTGGAAAGTGGAAAAACCTGAGTCCTTCCTGATTATCCCACTCTCCACACTGCTGCTTGGGGCGGGGAGGATGAGACAAGGGAACATCCCAAGCAATTCATGCCTTTGATTTCTTTAGCCGTCACAATGCTATGAGGTCAGCTGGGCAGGGATCATTGTCCTTGTTCTGCAGAGAAGGAAACTGAAGTAGAGAGAAATTAAGTACCTTGTCAAGGTCACACAGCTAGTGACCCGACCGCCTCTGCAAAGAGGATACTGTTGTTCTGCCCATTTTACAGATGAGGAAAACCGATGCTTAATTTCCCCCAGGCTCTCCGTTGTTTTGATTCCTTATCCTTCTGTTCTCCCAAGGTATCCTACCCAGCCCACTTGTGGCTCAGAGTCCTTTCCCTTTCTCTGGAGAAGGGCGAGACCCTAAGGCTTCCCCAGTCACCTGGTGGGTGCTCCCCTGTACTTTGGGAAGTCAGTCCTTGTGTCCTTTTCTGTCCGATGATCCTGCAGAAATGAACCCCATTCCTCAGCAAATCCCATCCCACTTATGTTCAGAAGGGGTGGGAAGCAAGACTTAGGAACTGAAAGGGGCAGGGACCGGCTCAGATGCCCAGCCAAGGCCGGGTTGGGCCTGGCAGCAGTGGAGGAAAACGGAAAACGGGTCCAGACAGGAAGAATCCAGGAGTCCTGGTTTCCAGGTGCAGGATTGGGAAGCAGGGGCATGCTTCACTTCTCTGAACTCCCTGCCCCTGGCAACCGGGCCCACTGCCAGACATCCAGGCTGTTAGGTGTTTCTGTCTGAGTTGGGAGGGGACCTGGGCAGCTCTTAGAAATGACGGGAGGACGCCACTGCGCACGCTCCCTGCCAGGCAGTGCTGTCTCCCGCTCTCTGCCGGCTCCGAGGTTCGTCACACCTTCGGCTCTGCCCTTCTGCTAACAGAACCCGCACCACTCTCCCTCCTGCTCTCACCTTGGGACCTGTGAGCCAGTGGCTGAGAGGGGGCAGCAGAGCCAGCTGGAGCTACCAGCTGCCCTGCTCCTCCTATGTCACCCCGACTGTCCATGGTTCTAGAGAGCTCTGCCACAGCCTCGGCAGTAGCTCTGAAGACAGTGAGTGTGACTTAAGCACTCCTGTTCTGGGGAGCCTGGGTGGCTCAGTCGGTTGAGCCTCTGACTTTGGCTCAGGTCATGATCTCAGGGGTCCTGGGTTCGAGCCCCTCCTCCGGCTCTGTGCTGACAGCTCAGAGCCTGGAGCCTACTTTGGACTCTGTATCTCCCTGTCTCTCTGCCCCTCCCCTGCTTGCACTCTGCTGTTCCTCTCTCTATAAAATTAAAACATATTAAAAAAAAAAAAAAAAAGAACTCCTGTTCTAGGCTGAGAGTGAGGAGCGGGCTTTCTCTGACAACTTATTTGGGGAAATCGAGGGTCCCATCCTCTGGCCCCAGCTCCTCTCAAGAGCTAAACCGCC